GATAACATGTTTAAATTTTGTGATTTCAATTTTTCCATCAAAATCCAAAAATATCTGAAAAGAACATGTTATCCTTGGTACCTAAATTTAACAAAATTTGTTGAATTATATCTGAAAAACTGAGAGAATACTTGTAAACAATAAAAATGGTGAATTGTAAAACATCAGTACTGCCAGTAATGCACCACAAGTTATATCAATACAAAGTTTGAATGAAATAAGCCAAACATCAGTTAAATGAAAAACAAATTGACATGTATATTTAGACCAGTATGTCATCTCAGACCAGCATATCATCTGAAAATTATCTGTTAATTGAAAAATAACAAAAAAAATTATTGTAAGTCAATTTACCAGAACTAGTTGAAATCTGGAGCCATGCTACGCTATATAAATACATACATGTGTTTCCTCAATTTATTCAAATAAATAGTTCTGTACTGATATTTAGTACCATATTTGGTATTGCCAAACTGTCATGTGATCTGCTAATCTTTAAATTTGTTCATTTCAGTTGTTTACTGTGATCCCCTTGGCAACCAGAATGTATTTGGGTTTCTAAAACCAACCAATAAGTCAGAACCATTGCAAAATAATTCTCTGATTATAGCTGCATCTAAGGTAAATGCTTTCACTTTCTCTTAATTCAGAATCCAACTAAAATGCAGTGTGATCCCCAAGTATTTCCTTTTCAACTGTAACACAATATAGTCCTGTTCACTGTTCACTCATATCCATTCACAATATAGTCCTCTTCACTGTTCACTCATATCCTCCCACAATATAGTCCTCTTCACTGTTCACTCATATCCATTCACAATACAGTCCTCTTCACTGTCCACTCATATCCATCCACAATATAGTCCTCTTCACTGTTCACTCATATCCATTCACATTATAGTCCTCTTCACTGTTCACTCATATCCATTCACAATATAGTTCTCTTCACTGTTCACTCATATCCATTCACAATATAGTTCTCTTCACTGTCTACTCATACCCATTCACAATATAGTCCTCTTCACTGTTCACTCATATCCATTCACAATACAGTCCTCTTCACTGTCCACTCATATCCATCCACAATACAGTCCTCTTCACTGTCCACTCATATCCATCCACAATAAAGTCCTCTTCACTGTTCACTCATATCCATTCACAATATAGTCCTCTTCACTGTCCACTCATATCCATCCATAATATAGTCCTCTTCACTGTTCACTCATATCCATCCACAATATAGTCCTCTTCACTGTTCACTCATATCCATCCACAATATAGTCCTCTTCACTGCCTACTCATATCCATCCACAATATAGTCCTCTTCACTGTTCACTCATATCCATCCACAATATAGTCCTCTTCACTGTTCACTCAGATTCATCCACAATATAGTCCTCTTCACTGTCCA